AAGTGTTAAAGGAAGTGTTAAATCGAAGAATGTACTAATTGTTTTCCTAATGTATTAGCTATAGAGGCCGGTTGGTAAAATTAATTTATATGAATTAGAATGTTAGCACCTTTCCTATTTGATATGAGACCATTTAGCTAACAATCTTCCCAAAGAAATACTAATAGTAGTCAGTGTTACTGAAAAACATCATAGAAAACAAATGAAATTTAATGTAACATGCCTAGACTTTTAATTGTATTGTCCAATTAATTGGTTGTTGCCTGGTGCAGAAGACAAAGGAGGAGGAGATGTCTTGACTAAAGTAAGGGAGAGCTTCTCCCAAGTTGGGAAAAAACGCAAAATCTCAGGGCTTCAGGTAGCCACATTTGTTTGTTGGCTTTGGTTGACAAAATAAGGAACTATTGAATGGATTATTGAAATGGAATGTTAAAATGGAAACAGAAAGCAAAGAAAAATTTTAAGAGGATGAGGGCAGAAGTAGAAAAGAAGAGAGCAGAGACAAACCAAATGAGGCATGTGCTAATGGAAGAAACAACAAAATTGCAAGCTGCCGCAGAAGGGATTGAATCGGCACTTGCCCAAGGTAGGGCACAGAACGAGCTAATAATAGTGCGGAATATGCAAGACCAATATCTTTTGATGCTAGGCTGGAGATTTATCTTAGATGCAGATGACTTATAATTCCATAAATTGAGATGGATGTCGCCTTAGGCGAACCAAAACAGATAGAAAATAAACGGCAGCAGACAATGTTCATTCAATTCAAATTTTCTGCATAATAATCAAAAAGTGCGATGAGAGGGAAAGTGCGAGCGAGCTTTGACGGAGGTGGAACGCGCGGCAAGGGGACGACACAGCACTGGGAGAGATTCGAACATAGAGGAAAGAATCGATTAGCATATGAGGGGAATGTTGCACGGGGAAACAGATCTAGGAAACCAGACATTTGGGGATACGATCGACGGGTGTATAACCAGGCCACTGTGTTTTTCTTTACTAACTTCTCTGAGGATTGGAGTCATGAAAGCATGTGGCGAACTTTTCATAAATATGGAAGAGTTCTGGACATATACAGCCCTATGAGGAAATCAACAATGGGGAGCAGATTCGGGTTCGTCAGATACTTAGATGTAAGAAACGAATGGGAATTGGAGCTGCAACTAGATCAAATCCGAGTGGGGGAGTACAAAATCTGGGTCAACAGACCAAGGTTTACAGAAAATGAAAGCCACAAGAGAGCAAATGCAGGGCATGTGGAGTTAGGAAAAGCTGGAGTGCAAAGAACTTATGCAGAAGCGGTGAAAGGAAACCTTGAAATCCGATCAGAAACAGAGAAAGGGAAGCAAGCAAAGGGGGAGAAGGAGTATAGGCA